TCAGTTTACACTCTCTTTAAGTGTTGCTTTTCCAGGTCTCTGTTCACCTCAAACACCCTGAAGCCCTCCCTCTAAAACCTTTTCCATTATAAATTCACCGAAAAATGTAGGGAAGACTTGAGGGGAGCACCGTACAGTGCTAAGATTCTGGGAGGATTTAACCAAATGGCATTAAAACTTACACAGCACAAATAGTCTCAACTAATTTCAGTCCAGGCCAGAAGACAAGACAAGTGAGCACGAATTAAAATTACAGATACACAGATCAGGAACAGATGTTAGAAGGAAATTTTCTCCAACACTGGAAGTCATAAATTACACAAAACCCTCCAAAGTCACTGGCCACCTTGAAGATACAATTAGAGCCTGAGATGGGGGCCAAAAAACCCTGAGAAATGCATGAGGAATTTGGGGGATGAGCTAAATGTTGGTGTGTCTTACAGGCGCATCTTGAGAATTCATGGTCAGTGTAGTTGGATTTGTTTTTCCTGTTTTCCTTTGCAATCTTTTTTCTTTTTTATTTTAGGAAAGGGTCTACAGAGTGTTCAGGGTCTCACTACTAGAACAGACTCCTAGTGACTGCCTGTTTACAGCCTCCCAAGACCTGGGATTACAAGCGTGCGCCACCACGCTCAGTCTCAACTGCCATCTCAGCACACTCCAGGAGCGGGGCCAGCACTGCAGGCCTATGGATCGAACCCCTGGCCCCTGCACTTGCTGATTCCTTTCCAATCTTAAAGTGAGAGCACAAGAAATTCATGAGAAATTTATTATTATTATTATTATTATTATTATTGTTGTTGTTGTTGTTGTTGTTATTTGGTGTATTTGGTACAGGATCTATGCAGCTCGGAGTCATACTTATCCTCCTGTTTTCAGCCTCCCCAGTGCTAGGATTACAGGCAAGCACACCACACCCAGTCTCGGTGGCCGGCTCAGTGAGCCCTGGGGGGGGCTGGCATGGCACGTAGTTCCAGGGATGAAACCCCAGTCCCTGTGCTTGCCTAAGCAGGCACTTAATCCGCTGCTCTATCTCACCCACCCAGCAATCTTTTTCTGCAGGTCTATGTTCAGGCCCTTGTTGCTCATTTCCAGGAAGGAGCACAGACGTCACTCTAGTGCCCTCTCCTCCTCTCCAAGTGGGCAGGCTCCTGCTACAGCTGTGACCTCAAGGTCATAAGGAGAATAAACAAATGTCATGCTGCCAGCACAAACTGACCTGACACAGCAGAGAGAAGCTGCCACTATGGTGAAGGCTGTTCCACGTGGTGGGGCTGGCACTGGGATCTGCGCCCCAGCAAGTGCTAAGTGGCCTCTCCCTCCAGTGTCCACTGCCGTTCCCCCTTCGTGTGTGGTACCCACACTGTTCTATAGTTCTCTCTCTAGGCAACCTGACTGCACCAGCAGCCCCACGGGAGAATATGAGCAAGTTCAGCTGGTTCTAAAGAGAAGGGGACTGAGTTACAGCATTTGCAGGATTTCAAGAGTCAAGGTACCTGAGGCTCAGTTCTGGATATCACTTCTGATAGCACACCATACAATGTAAGTCACAGGAACTTGTTACTATTCACATTCAGCCTCAGATTTAACTCCCACAAAGAAAATAGTCCATGTAAAACTACAGGGCTGGGGATACAGCTCAGTAGAAAAAGTATTTGCCTGGCAAGCACAAGGTCCTGAGTTCAATCCCCGTTACTGCAAAAAATAAAAAAATAAAACTACAGTCTATACCATTCACCTTGAGTAGTCAATGGGAAGGGGGCAGTAATCATATAAAAAGACACACATGGCACTCAGAAAAACACTGCTTGCATAACAAAACTAACCAGTTGTAAACTGAGGACACCAGCTAAAACTGAGCAAAATGGGATTTTAGCAATATTTCACATAGAAAGTATGTAGATTCTATAATCTTGTACTAAAAACACCACCAAAGTCACTGAAATGACAAGGACACTTGGGAGGACTGGAAGCACAGCTGGGTGATCAAGTGCTTGCCAAGCAAGCACAAAGCCACAGGTTTAGTCCCAGTACCACAAAAGCAAAGATACAAACTCACTGGCAGGACAGTATCTTCTTCCCTTAATTGTCACCTACATTTAAAAATCAATTCGTAAAATATAATCATTTGAATGAGCATTAGTTTTTGAAACAGAAGAGCCTTACAATACTGTATCATCAGCCTCTTGAGAACAGACAGACAGCGGCAACCGCCAAGGCAAGAGCCCTGATGGGAACGAACCCCGGAAAACTTCCAGCTCCTCAAAAAGGTTTTTGACTTGGAGTTCTGAGGAATGATACCCTCAAGGGGCAATTTCTTTCACACTAATGAAATGATGCTTGGGCTTCTACTAAATATGCGAATTGAAAGGTCTTCAGTGCAAAGATCAGAGAGCCCCAGCCACTCGGGTTTCTGTGATCACTACCTCCAGGGTGGCAAATGTCACAAGGTGACACCACAGTGCTCTTCCTGAAATACATACCTCACCTCATCCCAGGCCTACACTTCTCTTATTTGCCACCTGCCAATCTGGGGACAATATCAGCCCTCAGAATAAATGAGACAGCCTCTCCATGTGCAGGAGAAAAATTACTTTACATAGAAATTGGGGGTTTCTCACCTTATCACTATTTTCTGTCTTAGATAGCGGAAAAGGAGGGAGAGTAAGAAAAATTAAATAATTTGCCTCAAAAGAAGTCCCTGAACTTTTTCAGTCTTGCTAGAATAGTAACTGTCCCTTCTTCTGAAGGAAAAAAACAAAAATGAATTGGAATGAAATGACCAAATGCCAGCAAAATTCAAAGGGGAAAAGAGGTTTCACACAAAATTCCAAGACTACTAAGTTACACGTAAAGAAGTTCTTGGAAGATAAATTGGAATGGAGAGAAATGAACCAATATCAAGCAGTTTCAGGCAATGGTACTTTGAGCTCACCGGGATTGATGTTTTGTTGTTACTGAAGCTGTAGGGTTTTATGAAACAGAGACGCTGACTGCCCAGGTAAATGTGTCTTGCATTTTGATTGCCCCATATGCAGAGCAGGCTCGGGCACAGGCACAAGAAGGAAGTCATGGTGGTGAAAGGTGCTAACTACGAACTTAGCAAAAGTAATTCTTCCTTCATTCCAGTGAACTGTGAGATGAGAGTAATACAGGGGAAATGCAAGAGAACTCACGGGCCTAAAGGCCTGAGTTCACGTGACTTTCCACAAGAAATCCCTCTCCACTGTATTTGTCCACAAAGCCACATTCCAGTTGCCATCAAAATGTGCAGTTGTCAAGGAGGACAAAAGAAACTCACTTATCCTCACATCGCTCCAGAGAAAACAACAGCTTCCCAAATGAAGTACCCGTTGGTTGGAAGAGAAAGAAACAGATGAAGAAGGAGAAGAGGAAGCCCCTGCTTCACAATGGCTCTCAACCAAATCTGTGAGGCCTCACTCCTTTTTGTCACTTTTCTGTAGTTGAGTCAGGTTTAGAAGAAGCCCCTAGAGTGCTAGCAGCGTGACCCCTGTGGGTCTGCTTTCCAGAGAGGTGTGACGTCTCTCAGCATCTCTATTGATAAAGAAGAGCATGACAAGTACTAGCAGAAGTGGTGGCACCTGCTCAGTTGTAAATTGGGTTAGAGCGATGAAATAAATTCCTCTTGAATTTCTGTGGCCTAATCAATGATTCAGCTCTAACGAAACCATAAATCAGAAGGGATTTGCATAAACTGAGTCCCACATGGCACCTCAACAAAGAGTGAGTGATGGATTTTGCATTAAATTGTAAGGCCCACCAGACAACATTATTGGTTACCAATAAATGCATCTGTCTGAAAATTCCATGCAACATTTAGGTATTTGCAAAGCATCCCATCTGAGAGCTTTCTCATAGTCATAAAAGCAGATAAATGAGGGCAGATGCTCCCTAGTGAAAAGGACAGCGAGTCCCTGACTCTCAAAGCACCAAGATGTCCTAAGAATGTTACCAAGGCAGAGCTCTCTCATGACCAACCACAGACAGAAGTAACAGCTTAAAATAAAAACACACCATATGAACTATATAACATTTTATATATATATAAATGTGCTAGGGGAGTGGTTGGCAAGTAAGGAAGATAGACAGTGTAAAATGCAAGGCTACCTGAGATAAACCACAAGGCTGCTCTATCCTTCTAATTTTAAAAGTGTGGAAGTCCCATCAAAGTGGATCTAACTGGAAATCTGAGAAAGTGAAATTTTGGGAGTGAATATTTTTTAAAATAATAGCTATCAATTTACATGGACTCAATTTTAGGACTCTAAACAAATTCTGAGTTCTCTTTACCTATCTAATTCTGTTTGAGTGAGAATTTCAGAGAGGAAGAAACACTTGAGCTGAAGAAATAAGAATATATTTGGAGACAAAGGGAATTCCAGGAAGAGGGAGCAAAAACATATATATATATA